CCAGCCTCCTGTATACCTCCTGGGCTGGACCCCTTTGCAGCCCAGGCTGGAAACAGCCACCCTGGGAGACCAAGAACCACCTTTTCCTTGGAGGATGGGTGGCAAGGGATGGGCTCTAGGGGTCCAGTGAGGGCTCTGCCCGGGAGCACCCCATGTCCTGCAGTTGCTCAGAGGTCCCAGGAGCACAATGGGGTGACAGCATCCAGCCCAGGCAGACCCTGAGTGCCACAAATGGACTCCAAGTGCCACAGGTGGACCCCGAGTGCCCAGGTAGCTGAGTCCTGGCAGTGTTGCAGGGTGGGGCTGCCTAGGCTGGAATCAGGGCAAATACGTAGATTCCCCTCTCCCTTTTTCCTGAGCACCTACCACGTGCCAGGCACGATGGATACAGATGGTGCTAGGCGGTGGGGCGGAAACAGAACAGGGAATGGGAGCATGTGCGGCAGGGCTGCCCACCCACACTCCTGGGGCCACCGCCAGCATGAGTGGCCCCAGCAAGGAAGGTGGGAATGTCGGATACGAAAATGAGATGCACGGTGGGTGTTGTTGAATGAACCAGGTAGGGTGAGTGCTGAGACCACAGCTCGTACCTTGCTCCTTCTCAAAGGGTCTGTAGGCCATGAGCAGCATCAGCAGGAGCTAGACATGCAGAACATGTTCCTACCCAGACCCAGTGGACTCCAACCACAGACAAGAAGCCCGAGGCCCGGGAAGTTAAGGTGGAAGCAGGTGAAAGCTCCCTGAAAATGATAAGGATGGTGTCACTGTCAACTAGCCGAGGTACTGTCGGGTCGGGGTCAGAGACCAGCCTAGAAATGCCCCTGGTCAGTATCACCAAGTAGCTTGGTGCTGAATGAAGAAAGGAAATAGCACATCTTGGTTTAAAAATCGGGGCGGTCCCTTGCTGGAGGCCCTGTTGGTGATCCAGCGGATGGACATCGGCCCCAAGGCCAGGCTGGCCCCGCCAGTCGCTTCTGCCAGATGCCTGTGACCACTTTCACTAAACTCAGTGCAGGCTCCTCGGAGCAGGAAGGGACAGAATGGGCTAGAGGGGCCAGGTGTGTAAGAAGGGGGTCCTTGGGGCAAGAACCCACCCCACCACCAAGACCCAAGAAATGAGAACATCCCACAGACAGGACCCCCGGGGTGCACGGCCAGCCAGAGGCATCTGATAACGGGCTTGTTGATGAGGGGATGACTTCTGTCTCCCCACCTGCACTTCTCTCTGAGACTCAGACCCTCACTAACCTTCAGCGAGACCCGGACGGTCCTCTCTCTCCCCTCAGCTTGTTCCCCATCTTTACTGTGAAGCTGGGCAGGTAGCCACTACCACCCTGTCTTTGGTTCTGATCCAGGTCCACCATTCTGGGTGAGAGTGAGAGTCAACACCTAAGTCCCATAAAATCGACCCGGTAACGAGTAGATGAGCTGATGTCGCCACCTGCTGGCCAGC